TTTTTTTTTTTAAGGTTTTGAGAGAGCAAGAGCCAGCAGAGGCAAAGGGAGAAGCAGGCTCCCCGTTGGGCAGGGAGCCCAAAACGGGGCTCGATCCCAGGACCCCAGGATCATGACCTGAACCGAAGGCGGCCACCTAACCGACTGAGCCACCCAGGCACCCCCTGCCCAGCTATCCTGTGCCATCCCGGAGTCCGTTCAGCTCCTCCGTTCCCCTAATTCACCACTTCAGCACACAGCTCAAAATCCTATCCCTTACTAGATTAGTAACTGGATGTGGTAGGAAAGTGTCAAAGTAATTCAAAGCTTTGATGCCTGGCTGGCTGGCTGGCTGGTAGGACAGTGGTACCATCAGCTAAAATTGGAATCAGAAGGATCAGATTTGGGAAGCGAGAGAAGTTTGGTATTCGAGAGTTGTTTCTCATGGGTGTTCCTTTGGAGCCAGAGCTGGGTTGAACTCCCTTCTGAGAGAGTAGGCAGAGGAGTGTTGATACATTGCTCCCACTTTCCCATCCCATCAACCCTGAGTCCTAGAATTCCTCAATGAATCCAAAGTTTTATTAAAACTTCATTAAATCGCTAATCATTGAATTTCTGGAGCACCTGGGTGGCTCAGGTGGTTAAGCCTCTGCCTTCAGCTCAGGTCATGATCCCAGGGTCCTGGGATCGAGCCCCGAGTGTTGGGCTCCCTGCTCAGCAGAAAGCCTGCTTCTCCCTCTCCCTCTGCCACTCCCCCTGCTTGTGCTTGCTCTCTCCCTCCCTGTCAAATAAAATCTTAAAATTTTAAAATAATTATTGAATTTCTATGTGGCACTGAGCTAGGTGATGTGGATGATATATAAAAATCCTTTATCATCTTTGATGCCTCCTTGCTAAATCCTTGTTTAGTCCTCAGTTAATATTTTTTTGTTCATATTTAAATATATAGTCAAAATGTTTACTATGTGTTCAACTCTGTAAAACACTCTAAGGGACTTAAAAAAAAAAGGAAGTGTAAGAATCAGTTCTCGTCCTCTCCGAGCTTAGTTTTACTGAGAAGCAGTAAATATAAAATGAATCACACCCAGATTCTGAAAAGCCAGTAAGCTTACATGGGATAGGGAATTAGATCCTGGTGAGCCCAGACAGGAAAATGCTGCAATAATTCAGACATGAGCTGATAAAGGGGAGGTGAAGGTATTTCTGGCAAATAATGGAAATGGTTGACAAAGCCCGATTTAGTCATCAAGGGTGTAGGAGAGGGAGCATGTCCGTGTTGCCAGCACAGGTGGCTGAAGCAGGTAGTTGAAAGAACCCTTACTGGAATCAAAACACCTGCACATGCCCCCCTAACAGCACTCTCTACAGGCCAGTCTGCCTCTTTCACTGCACCCTGCCTGCTCAGAAAGTCACTTTCATTTCCTAACATGCCTTCTTTCTGGGCAGGGATTTTGCTATTTTAGGAAAATAGGCAGATCTCAGCATCCAACCCAAGGTTCAAATTGAACAGCTTCTCTTTCGTCAAGGGAGCTGTATGAGAGAACAGGAAAGAAAGAGACATTGTACTACTCCTTCCTGAAAGGCTGAGGGAGAGAGGAAACCTTATCACTGTAAATCTATGGTTAGCTTTTGATGCTAAACTTTCTGTTTTTGTGATTTCTTTTTGAAACAGAAGAGTAGATAGAGGCTTTTATCTGCTCTAACAATTAGAGCACATTTCCTTTTAGCAGGTAGCTCTCACACACTGCAGTGTAGTACTAAAAGGTTAAGGAGAATAACTGAAGACTGGTCGGGTATACAAAACTCCATCTGGAAGGCAAAGGCCAGGCAGATGACTTGTACCAGAGTTCATCCCAAATCCTAAAAGTTGAAGCCAGAAATTCCAAACCCATTTAGTGAGCACCTACGTGCCGTACATTCTACCACACAGATTATATATATATCTAAACTGAGGAAAAAAGTAGACACAGAAGAAAATTCTTGTGGGAGAGTGGAAAGGAGGTGCACATTCCAAGACATCCACCTAAGACCGAAAGAAAACCACGATTATTTCCTTCTACAGCACAATTTCTCCCCTCTACTTGGGCAGCCTGTCTTGAGAAGCTCAATTTCAAACATCATAAGCAACTCGTGCACAAGAATCTATCCCCTGGTCACTTCAGAGAATGTTATTTTTAACCCGTTAACTCCATCCCTTCCCAGCTTGAATGGATGGGGCAACAATCACGACAGACTGCCAAGTTTCCACAAATCATTGGTTTATTATAAAGTTCCTTTCCCTAATTTTACAGCATATATATCTCTATCATATGTGATAAAGTTAAATACAATCTGTAATGCTTGTAAGTAAGGATAGGTTATTTTGTCTTTCCTTTTTTTTTTAAGTTTTAAAATCACTATTCTGAAAGTTAAAGAAAACTGCCCCCAGGAAGGTAGAGAGGCAGCCAGAGTATGGCTCAATCTACAAGCTAATGGGAAGCAGCACAAAAATGTTAATACTGTATTATTTAAATATTTACATGGGCTGAAAGCAAAGAAAAATGAGTCCCTTCACTTCAAACAGATGATTTCACTTTTCCAGTGCTAGCTATCAAAAGTGATGCTTCTGAATCAGATGAGGAGCACTGAACAGGCAGGAGGCTCACTCAAGAGCCCTGTTAGCCCAGCACTTGCTTCTCATAAACTCAAACCCCTTTTTCTTTTGGGAATCTGAGAAGAAAGGCAGAACATAGAGCCTTGGCCCAAGTAAGTAGGGTTTGCTTCTTCCTGTCCAGTGACCACCCAACCAATTCTAGCCACAGGAATAGGTAGGGAAATGCTAACTACACCAAAGATGAGACCTGCAACATAAATGGGTCAGTATGTTAATTCGGTCTGAGAGCCCAGGTGAAAGGCAAGAGGAGGAAGAGGAACTGAGGTGGTACTTCCTCTGGTAGGTGTCATGGGAGAAGAGGGGAAAAAAAAAATCTTCACTGCTTAAACTAAGCTGGGCAGAAGGCATGGAAACTGTGAAGCAAAAGAATCTGCAGTATCTATAAATGTGCTCACCTCCCCACATGAGAAGGAAGACACTGTCCCAACTCTCTCATCCTCAAGTCTACTTCTACTTCAGTTTCTAGCCATCCCAAAAGGCACATTAAAAAAAAAAAAAATTGTCAGGGGGGCTAAGTACTAGGAAGGCAAATGGACTGCCTGGAACAAGGCACCCAGGAAACCCCCCGGAAAATCACTCTGAATCTCACTGCTTCCAGAGAATAAAGCTCTCGAATCTCTCCTTCCTCCTCTGTGGGCCCTCCTGCTTCTCTGTATAACAGATGATGGGAAATGTCGTAACTGAGGATCCCTCTGACACCCCCAGCTGACTGCTGCCCATTAGTTCAAAAATCCCAGTGCTGGGGGCACCACTTACTGCAAATGAACTAAACATTTTGTCCCAGCAAAAAATGTTAAACAATGTTCCTTTTTTTTTGTTTTAACATTTTTATAGTTCATAACTTCAAAAAATACATGAGCTTGATAAAATATACATGCTTAGTCATTT